GTTCGAAACCTCTCCAGCGAAAACGTATGATTCCTTCGTCTCGGAGGTTTAGGTCTGAGCGAGTGGTCTCACCTCGAGCCAACTCACCATCCTCCTTACTCTGACTGGAGTCATCAGCTCAGTTGAGAGTGTTATCAAATGCCTCATTGTTTTCGCAACTTGACTGCATTGATTTTGAGGACTTTCCGCTGCGATCGAACTAGTCAACATAGTGGGAAAGTTCCTCATTCACAGATAGGCCTCTGGTTAGTTCTACACTGTACGAGTACTAGACTGGGCTCTGTGCCTCATCCTTACGGGCACGTCCCGATAACTCATTGGCCTGTTGGTGATTTTGTCCTAACACTTTCTATCCATATCGGGGGTGGTCAACCTCGCTTAGCTCGTAGCTCCACGGTTACCCGTCCGATTGACTCTATTCTACTTTTCAGACATGGCCTGAGGTCTCCTCTTATATATCCTGTAAACAGCTTCCGGTCGGAGGGACGGCAACGACGTATACGGTGTTATGAAGTATGCTTCGTTTTTACCGGTTTATACTGTCAGGACACCAAATTCCGGCGACACTATTACTGTACGCAGGGCCAACAGCGGGGCCGGTAGGGGGTGTTGGCTATGAAATCTTCGCGGTTTTCAGGAGGTCTGTGCGCGGGAAAGGTCTGTGCATTCATGTGTGTAACAGGCTACTCATTTGTCTTTGTACTTACATTAAGCACTAACCTATACCTTAAACCATAGCTGTTAAAAATCCTACCGAGCACTGAGGTGCGACAGGTAACGATTCTTAATTCATAGCAAGGTAATAGTTCTTAGGTCGATACCTATGTGATGCTGATAGTCAAGTCCTTTTGACTTCTATCTTATTGTGCCTATTCCTCTAATTTTTTTTAAGTCCTTGTTTAGGACTTAATCATTCAACGTGGGAGGAGAAATAGTTTTCTCGCCTGAGAGGAAAGACAATTCTCAGGTTTCTTAAGATAAATATTAAAGAGTGTAAAGGTAGATTTTATTGTAATACCTTAAAGGTAGGAAATAAACAAGAAGAACATGTAAAGAACTAATACTCGGGGTCCTAGTGATCCCTTATATAGTAGTTCTTTACCTAGCATGACTTATACCTTGCGTCACGCAAATCCTGTGACTCATAACCATGAGTCACGTAAAATCCATCAGCCGACTCCTATGAGTTGCTGCGCAACATACCTAAAACCAATTAAAACATAATAATCAAGTCAGGTGCGCATCTCGTATTACCTGAGTGAAACCCATGACTCATAATTTGAGTCATGTGCGAAAATCATAATATCATGTAACTCACAACTGTAAGTCATGACCAGGTAAACATAATAACCTATGGTGCACTAGTGTGCATTATGTGAAATCCTAACATACCTATAGCTCGGAATTCCAAGCTATGTGAAATCTGCCTTGCTTAGTCACAGTTTGTGACAATAGCTTAACTTTTACATAGTATTAGCTAGAAACCATAACATAGAGGAGGTAAGATTTTGAATATTCTCAGAAGAGATATTAGCCCACTGCTGGACAACAGTCTGGTAAAGCTCAGGGGTGATAGTGGGTCTTGGGTAAAGCTGTATTATATGGTACTAAAGCAAGCACCAGACACCTTTGATTGGACTCATATTGGGAGAGCAGGAAGGCCAAGGGAGAAGGTATTTAGCATGTTCAAGCTTCTGCATAGCTGCTTGGGTAATGTGAGATTGATGAGTAGGAGCATTATTCTGTTGGAAGTAAATGTAATCAGAATTGGTTTATCTTGTTGAGTGTAGTAGAAACTGCTACTAGGGATGCAGATTTAGCTGTATTATATAGTCAACATAATTAAAACCATTGATACAGCCCTAAGATAGTATATCCCAAATAGCCAAACTGCTCTCCTGGTTTCTGTAGATAGCCCCCTAGACTATAACAGTTGTATAGTGTAGAAAGTATAAAACAAGGCAATCCTCCTCATACTCTTCACAAGGGCAACAGGTAATCCAAACCATCCTACATACCTCTTCTACTGAAAACACACACTCATCTGACCATGTAATGTCCATTCAGTCTTCTCTATTTCAGTCCTAGAATTGCTCTCCTCAGGTAAGACAATGCTCTTTATTTCTTTATAAGAGAAAAGGCTTTACTCTTACTACTCATCTATAATAACTAGCACTTTGAAACACCTTTCTTAGTACTCTATAACCTAGCTGGATGTCCTCCAATTCAGCAACCTCAGTGTAGGGAAGGCAGTAATTGTATATACTTTCAGTAGCTCAAGTAATAAGATGTGCGTGGAGGTCAGAGATAATAGCAGGCCAGCAGCTCTGGTATAGACATCTACCTATACTTGTTGAGGAATTTTCATAGGATGTTAGTTGATAGATTATTTAATGTAATGATTCTGGTAGAATTTTGAATACTGCCTGCAGCTTAGGATAGCTCCATTCAGTATAATACCCAAGTGCTTTAATTGTTTTATTCATTATTGGATATGGTAGCTTTATGACAATGCTCTTAAGTTCCTCTAATATCTCGATATTCGTACCTTCACTTGCTTGGCCAAAGTACTCTGAGCCTGCTGCTAGCATTGAGGACTCAGGTTGGATTTTCCAAGTGGCTGGCATATAGGTGGCTTCATACTATTCAAAATCACTATTGAAGTTCATAGTCTGGGCATAATCAGAGCTTGAACTTTCTATTGTTTGAGATTTGACACCATTTAAGACTAGACAAGGAGAGTCTTCTGACTCAGGCTTGGGTTCTGGGTCAGTGGGCACTAACATGGTTGCTTTCTATAAGGGAGAGAATTTGGTATTTAGGAGAAGAAAGAAGTAAGAAAGCAGTAATAAAGTCTTCAAATTGAAATACTGGTGATACGTTTTAAGCATTTTCACCAGTGAGATATCTTGTTCTTTATTCTACTTTTCACCTCTCTTAGAAGCCAGAAACTTCACTGTTTAGTTTTTATGACTTTATCTCTCCTGACAATTCTCTCATCTACCAGCTACTTACTTACTTCTCAGTTATTTGTTTCACTCTGCCCTTTCCATAACCCTTTTGTACTTTTTTTTTTTCACTTCTACCAGCTACTGGTTCCTGGACTGCTAATCCTTGCTTGCGATTTCCATGTTTTATTACTTTCTTGTTGGAAACGTGTTGGTACAGGGATTCCAATCTTTCTGATTTTTAAGAACACCTCCTACTAGATAGGTAAACATATAATGATACAAGAAAATAATAATAATGTTATGTAATAAATAAGACAGAGAAGAGAACAATAGAGGTTATCTCCTAGGCTGCTGAGACAGTGGAAAATTTTGTGCCGCCCCTGCTAGTGTCTGAGATACAGGTTAATAAGCAATTTTTATTAGTTGCTATAAATTCGCAGATGTGCATACTTCAGACTGTAACTAATATTACTAGTAGTTACATGATCATACCTATGCCCACCACCACTCAAGAATACTGAGTTGGTCTGTTAGTCACCTATGTCTTAGACACTGACAGGGGCGGTACAAAATTTTCCACAGTCTCAGCAGTCTAGGAGATAGGACTTAGGACTATGATATAGACATATTACACAGGTATGCTGAGAGTTACTACTACTGGTATATGTGAGCACAGATGATGCAATCAGATGATCAGGTCGGAGCTCACCATCTGATAATCTGCATTTTTTTGAGATAATAATTATTATGTTTTACAGTACATATTAGATGAATTTGGCAATTGCTCGTGCGAGGGGAGTTACCCGAATATCGGCCCCAGTACCGTACTCGTACTGTATCGCACTCTGCATGGGTTGCTGCCCTGTCGTCCGTCAAGATCGGCAGGTTCTGGGGTCGAGCTAGCATACGAAGCGTGGTTTTGAGCAGCAAGAACTTTGTCATTCCCCTTGTTCGATCTGGTTCAGTGCATATCGATGTTTCAGGAATGATCTCATGAAAGAATGAAAGAATCGCTAGGATGGGCCGTGAATATGCGTTGAGGGGCGAGTCCAGTGTTGTACTCGCACTCGTACAGTGCGAGTGCAATGGGGTCCAAGATAGTCCCTACGCATGAGCATGCGAGCACGCTCATGTTGCGGCGGTTGGTGGTGCTGTGCTGGTACTATAAGGTTGCCTGTAGGCTCCAATCGAACCTGGGGCGCTGTACCTCGTACCGGGTTTGGTCAACTTTTTCTCCCCCCCCCCTTTTCTGGCCGACTCATGGTCTACGAGTGCTGGGCCATAGTCTAACTTAGACTCTAGACATCAGCGATGGGTTGAACCACTTGCGGCTCTCGGCTGTGGGGCTGTCCCACCGGGGGTGGTTTCCACCTCCGACAATAGTTCTTGAAGTCCGGACATCATCAGGGCCCCGGCCGGGGTGATCGTGGTTTTTTGCTGGTGGCATTAGTCCACGAAGGGAGTCCGAAATTTGGACAAGTTAGCCATTCCGTCTTTCTTCACTTTCCCATTATTGCTGTTGTGCACGAGTCCTTTACTTGCACGGGGGTCTATATACAAGTGCAGTAGTGTTATTGACGCGAATGAATTTCATGTGCAAATGCGTTCCTATTTTGTGTTGGGATTCTTAGGCCTCCAGCGCCACGTGATTGGGTGATCTGTCGCAGACAATGGAACGATGGACGGCCGGGACCGTGCCTGCATTACGCTATTCCCTCATACTGTGCAGTACTCGTACTCTGCGCTGTCTGCTGTCTCGTCCCGATCCAATTCTCAGCGAGACTGGGAGTCTCCTGGGCCTGTCAGTTGCTTTATCTCCCTAACCTCCATAATATTCCACCCAGAGCTATTGGAACTCTCCTCATGTCTCTCCCTCGGCATCCCAATCCGAGCCTCAATCCTTAAGGCGTCCTTCCCGCCACCGGAACCTACCCCGCTCTCAGCCGTTTCCGGTTAGTCTATTCTACATGTCCCTTTTACGACTTCTTTATCGGCCTAAGCACTTTCGATATAAAACCGCGGCTAACTTCACTGTTCGTACCAGGAACCACACTGATCTTTATTGCACTGCTTAGCTTAATTGTCTAGGGCCGTTCGTTGCTATTATCATCGCCGTATTTTCGCCCGGCAAAAAGTGTTTTTTCCGTTACAGTGGGGATGGACGATAGTGTCGGTATGGCGGCCAACGGTGTGGGTAATGGGGTGGGAACGCCAAGGTCAAAGGACCCGCCGGAGGAGCGGGCCAGAGCGTATCAAATGGAGATGTTTGAGGAGAGCTTAAAGAGGAATATTGTTGTTACGGTAGGGAAGCGATTTGCCCCCCTCTCTTCCCTGCGGCAGTTTATGGGGTTCTGGTGGAGCTAATGGTGATGGATAGATGGATACGGGATCGGGAAAAACTCATATGTAGGGTCTTTCCTGTTGCGTTTGTGTGGCCGGGAACGGGTAGCTGAGCTATTACTGTGCTTGCTATGCTAGGGTGTCAGACACTAGATGGGATGAACTGGGTTGGCTAACTGTTCGACTGGTAGCGCTGTTCTCCGTATTCAGGCCCAGTTAGAAAAGGGAGAGGATAAGGTAGCCAAGGGTCAACTGTGCATAGATTGTCGCTTGCTAATGTAGGCTATAGCTTTCCTGGTTTTTGGTGCCCAATGTTTCCTTAGGAAACCAGCAGTACGAAGTGCTAAAGGCTTCTTTACCACCGGTTAACATTCAGTTCCTCAGCGGGGGGGATAAAGTCGACAAGTGGAGTGACCAAGAGATCTGGGACGAGATTTTGGGCATCAAGGACAATGACCACGCGGTCGTTGTCAGCACTCATCAAGTGAGTGATCAGAGGGATGGGCCGGAGATCTCCAGGGACTAACAGAGAAATAGGTATTACTAGATGCGTTAACCCACGGATTTGTCAGGATGCAAGGAATAGGGTTGATCGTGTTTGACGAAGGTTTGAGACCCCTTAACCCTAACCAACCGATAGAAATACCGTGAATTCTGTGGAAATAGGGGGTATTGGGTGTTATGGATTGGCTAAACCCTTCTTAATAGCCCATCATTGTGTTGGACAACACCCCGCAAACCGGATTATGCAGGAGTTCTATCACCCGCGGGCACGCAAGGGATTGGATGTTCCGGCTGTTCTTGGACTCACAGCTAGTCCAGTTGTGAAGTCGACCCCGGATCAGCTACGGCACGTTTCTTCCAAACTTTGGATTGGAGTTTTAGCTAATCGGATGTGTGCCAGAGTGATTGAGGCCAACCTGAACGCAATATCTCGGACGCCGGTACGGAATCGTGAAGAATTGCTACGACATGTTCACCCACCCGTACTGAAGAGAATCGTTTATAAGTCGTCGTTTGAAGAATACGAACTTATTGACCCATCCTTACTCGAAGATGCCACAGATCGGGCAAACGGAGATAAAAAGAGAAAGTTTTCAGAGACCATGTGGCCAGAGGCCCGGGCTATTAATCCCATAGGTTCATCAGAAAAAGCAGCCGAAATCCTGGGGAAAGCTATCGCGCCCCAGGAAAAGATCCCCATGCCTGAAGTCACCAAATCTAAGTCCCGAACGACATTCAATTTTCCTGCTGTGGATAGCGCTCCGTCTAGTGGGGTGAAGACTCCGGACACCTTCGATACCGCACTAGAGAACAACGAAATCACTGATGATATTGACGAGTACGAAGAGATAGACCCATTAACCGGGGAGCCTTATCGCAAGCGTGGGAGTGAGGTAGAATTCGAGATGATTGACCCGTTAACAGCGGAGCCTTATGGAGGTGGTGGACCGTGTACTCCAGTGACTCGCGGAGAAGAGTACGAGCTAATCGACCCACTCACCGGGGAGCCATATGTGAACCCACCAACCGGGAGGACAAGTGAAGGCACCACCCGATCGGTAACCCCTTCGCGAGGGGAGTTTCACGGAGCTATGGAACTTGATGAAGTTTACCTAACCCGAGATGGTGCTTCCACTGACAACGGGCCGTCTGCGCTGGAATCCCTCCAATTAGCTGAGGCGGCGATGGACATCCGACAAGATCCATATATAAGGGCTCTCCAGTCCTCCGAACCCCCTGATCTGGAACGTATAGAGATGACTCTAGCAAAGCGCAATACATATTGTCAAGTACAGATGCGTGGGCTTTTGAACAAGGCTGTTCACATCCGGAAAGAGTTTGGTGTTTGGGGCGTGGACTGTTATCTTAAGCATGCTATTCAGAAGGCTATCAAGTTTGCTGATGAGGAGGATCCAGAGAGTATGTGGATGGAGTGGAATAGCGAGGAGAAGCGCTATTTGAAGTCGATTCTTTCGAAAATAACTGTTCCCAGGAACATTGGCCCGATAGCAGGGAGGCTTTCGGACAAGGTTGAGAGGCTGATTGAAGTGCTTCTGGGCGAGTATAGGGATGACGGTGGGAAGTTTGCCGGATTAATCTTCGTTGAACAACGGGTAGGGGTCTCTATTCTGGCAGAGATTCTGAAAACGGATCCGAGAACGAAGGATATATTCCGGGTCGGAACCGTTGTTGGTGTCTCAGAAGGCAATGGGAGGACTAGAAAAGCTATATATGAACTTGTTAACCTCAAGGGGCAGTACGAGACAATTGAGGATTTCAGGTCTGGTAAGAAGAATCTAGTCGTGTCCACTAGCGTTGTTGAGGAGGGCATGGATATTCCGGCGTGTCGCCTTGTCGTTTGCTTCTCCCTGCCGCCGAATCTCAAGAGCTTTATTCAACGCCGCGGGCGGGCGAGAATGGCTAAGAGCAATTATGTTCTGATGTTCAGCGAAAGCGATTCTCAGGGCAAGATCGACAAATTCAAGCAACTGGAGATGGACATGATAGAGGAATACCTGGATGAGACGAGGAAGCTCAAAGCCGAGACAGGGACGGAAACCGAAGAGCCGGATGAAGACGGTGTTCTTAGCAAGGGCAAAAACCGACGCTTCCTGATCGAAAGCACTGGGTGTGTGGTTGCAAGCTATTCCGAACGAGAATTTGTGACGCTAATATATTCGATAGCGCTCTTTTGACCCTTGATTCGGCTGTATCCCACCTTCATCATTTTTGCAATTGCCTTCCACAGGGCGAATACATGGATCTTCGCCCCATCTTCCACACCCGGATTGTGAACCAAGAGCAATTGGACATACAAGAAGCCAGGGGCTCTGGCTCTTCGGTACGGCCATTTTATAAGGCTGAGGTCCTACTACCGAATTGCATCGCTCCCGAAGTCAGACGAGCAGAGAGTAGAGAGTCCTGGATAACTGAAAGGTGGGCAAAACGCGATGCGGCTTTCGAGGCTTATCTTGCACTTCGACAGCTTCAAGGTGACCCGCTTATCGACGATCATCTGATGCCACTATTACAGACTGACCCTGATATCGCGGATGCAACCAAGAAACTCGAGAAGAGGCCCTCAAAAGTCGCCGTCGACAATACCATGGATCCTTGGTCCGAAAAAAAGTGGGAAGAAGACACGGTGGCGTTCGCTACGCCCATCGCACTTAATATGCCTAGTAGTGGTTGTCCCGTGGTGGTTGAGATCATAACCCACTTTGCTTGTCCTGACGTTGCCAAGATCATGGTATATCGCACTAATTCGGATATCGGGGAAGTCATAGTCGGGCCTTCACGATGCCTAGGTGTCAATCCACGGATAATCGAGAGAGGGAAGAAGACAACATATGCTTTGCTTTCGTGTATATTTGGGAGTAGGATGAAGCCTGGAGTGAAAGATTTCCCTTATCTCTTTGTTCCGAAGAACGAAGCAGACGATTGGGTGGAAGGGGGTGATGAGGTTCCCATCACGTTGTTGGAAGCCTACAGGACGCAGGAGGCCGGCTCTGATATCGGAATTATTAAGGATAACTCCCAAAATGGTGTGAGATATGTGATTCAGCGGTGGCGAAACGGCGTGACCCCCGAAGAGCACGAGAACCTTCTGGAGCGGTATAAGGGGAGGGATATTGACCCAAAGGGCGTTTTCATCGAAGCGATAAGACTTTCCGGCCGTCGAGACTTCCTCCACCCAGAGTCTAATGAGCCATCTTCGGAAATCCCGACATTACTCATACCCGCGTTGTGCACGGTGGATGCGGTGCCTTGGAAATACTCCCAGCTTGCGATGTACTTGCCTGGTGTTATTCGACGGATCGAGATGTCGTTTATCGCGGCAGATCTGGAACGCACGTTGCTTCACCCAGTTGGCTTCAACTCGATACCCAAGATGGTTACAGCACTATCTGCTTCATCGGCAAGAGAATCTACAGATTATCAGCGTCTCGAGTTTCTTGGTGACTCTGTCTTGAAGTTCCTCACCTCTGTCAATCTCCTCGATGAGCACCCTTTTTGGCACGAAGGGTACCTCACAAGGAAGAAGGAACAGATGGTTGCAAACTCGCGGCTGGCCCGTGCGGCCATTGATAACCGACTAGCGAAATGGATTATTACTGATATATTCACTGGATCAAAGTGGCGGCCACGGTATGTGATATCAGAGGAGGAAGAGTTCCCAGACAAGAAACGCAAGGGGCCCAAGCAACTGTCGACAAAGATCCTTGCAGACGTTGTTGAGGCCCTGATCGGTGCAGCTTACCTCGAGGGCGGTTACTCAAAGGCGCTTAAAGTCATTAGAGCGTTCGGGCTTAATATCAATTGGAAACCTCTTAAGGAGCGAACCGGTTCTTTGCTACACCGAGCATCCCAATACCCAGAAGTCCATCTTCTCCACCTCAAAGGCCTTGAATCACTAATAGGCTACCATTTTACGCATAAGGCCCTCCTCCTGGAAGCCATTACTCACCCATCCTGGGAATCCGACATGACCTCGCTCTCCTACCAGCGAATGGAGTTCCTCGGTGACGCCCTATTAGATATGGTAGTCGTGAACCATCTCTTCTTCTCCCCCCGCAATCTCTCACACATCGACATGCACCTGTATAAATCCTCCGTGGTGAACGGTAACTTCCTGGCATATCTCTCTCTCCGCTGCGCTGTCGACGTTAAAGGCTATGGGGTCAGTCAGCGTGCGCAAAGCACGGAAGTAGAAATCGTTAACAAGTCCCGCAAAGTCGAGCTGTGGAAGTTCATCCGCCACCAACACCAACAGATCCAGCACGCTCAAAAAATATGCTCGAAACGCTACGAGGAGGATCTCCGTGATAGTGTCCAGACAGCCCTAGATTATGGAAAGGACTACCCGTGGACCGAGCTTTCTCCGCTCGAATCGGACAAATCGGGCCGGAATAAGTTCCTCTCGGACGTAGTCGAGGCAATAATAGGCGCGGTGTTCATCGATTCCGGCGGGGACTTTGAAACGGTTAAATCACTCGCCGAGCGCCTAGGCATTTTGAGAGTGCTCAAGAGGCTGGTGGCAGATCATGTGGACGTCACTCACCCGGTCAAGAAACTTGGGGAAGCCGTCGCAGCCAACGGCCAGGGGACTGTGCATTACGTGCAATCCGTAGAGGCAGGCGGGTACTCCTGCACGGTGATGGTGAATGAGGAGAAGCTACTCAACGTGAGGGCGGCCAGCCGCTCCGAGGCACGCACGAAAGCGGCGGAATTGGCCCTGAGTGTGTTTATGGAGAGGGTCAAGAACGAAAAGTTCCCCCCTGGGACGGCGAGGAAGCGTCGTGGAGAGAATGATGACGACGACGAGAGTGAGTACGGATATGAGGATTATGTAGGAGAGGAGGAAGACGAATACTCTATACACGGAAATTTTGATTCTGGGGCTCCCGCAAAGGATATGCCCAATGGTGTCGGCACAGCGATCGGGAGGAGGAAGGTGTTTGAGGATGAGGCTAGTCATGTGGACCTGAAGATTGGGGATTTGGACACGGTTCTTGATAGTTGTTAGCGGGTCACGTTTTCTTTTTTTCTTCTTCCTTTTCCTTTCCTTACTCGGTTATGCAACTTTTGTAGCTTATGGTGTTGTCTATGGTTCGTTTATTCCCCTTCCCGAACCTATTTAGTTTTTGGATGTTTATAAAATATGGGCCATCCGGTGTGATCGCACGAGTATGAGTAGCGGATTATACAGTGCTGATATGAAGCACTATGAAAACATGCTAGATTACCGTTACTTGAAATCTTTTCAACCGGTTATATTAAGGGGGGGGTGTAATCGGTTGACCTCGAATCCCCAAAAACCCTGGGTATGATATAACACTAGACATTTCTCTACGCACGGCTGAACGATGTCAGAATCAAACCCTACTCAAAACTCGGGGCCCAAAAAGAGGCTGGGGCCTGCTGTGACGACAGGGAGTAGGAAAAGGACGAATTCAGGCAGGAAATGTAAGCCATAACAGGTCCACGAATTATTTCCTATCTCTATTGCCAATATTGGGTAGTGCTATACATCTCAAAAGGGTCTAAATATCGCATCAGCTTAAGGGATACCATCGGAGGTGAAAACAGAAGGATGAGAGGTGAAAGCTGCAAGAGAGCAGGACAGGCCTGTTATTTAGTACTTTGAAGTACTTTGATTATGCTTGTGTCATGTACTAGTACTTGTGCGGGTGTGGTATATAGACAGCTGTGATGATACTTTCTGCGGTGTCATACTATTATCATATTATGGTTCCGCAAAATCTGGACCCGGCATCCGGAGTCACACCACGAGTGATTCCTCATGATATAGAATATCACTATGCCCCTCCCCCAGCTTTCATCCCGACTCTTGCTAGAAGTCATCGTGCGTCCCCCGGTGCGGAAATTCTTTCCCCTATCTACTTATCTATTCTCAAAGAGAGCGCAGGAGGCGGCGGTCAGAATAGGATAATTTATGTTCTTGAGAAACCTAAAATATATCTTCCTCCTAATGACGAAATTCCGGGACGAGGTGTGTGGGATGAAGCTGGGCCGTAAGTTGCTGTCGGTATATATCATGACACCATACCATATATGGAGATTGAATCTCGGCCCTTGACTGATTATTCTTGAAGACTCGCGCTGAAAGATTAAGGTTATGACGGTTAAGGAGTCACGGTAAGTCGCATCGCATTGCAATATGATATGTATTCGGGGGGGGTTTTTTTTTGCTGTCACTGTTCGAAATTAGGGGTGTGAATTAATAATAATAATAATAATAATAATAATAATAATACTTTCCTCTCCATTCCTTTCCATTTTTATCTTTTTACCTTCTCAATTCCCCGCCCCAACAACGAGCTCTTGATCGGCTGTGACTTTTACTCTGGACCCCTATCATACCTAGATTACTAGTAAGTACCGCATCACAGGTTCACGGGGGGGAAGGGACTAATTATGGTCCATTAAAGACTTGAAAATTCTGCACTGCAGCTGGTGATTACCATCATGGGTATGATATGATATTATCACTGTACAGTACGTGGCTGCTGGCGTAGCAAGTGGGTTTCCCCCTTTCCCAACTTCCACAATTATCACGTTATGATATATTCCAAGTGGTTGATATGATAGCGCCCTGTGTTTTGTGTCCGGTACAATAAGGTAGGATACCGAGATACAGAGTCATACCATCATATCCCCTCGATAGCGGATGATATGATACGGCATATAAAAATCATATCACAGTCCACCAGAGATGCCCGACCTGGGAGTTAGATAAAAAAAAATCCTAATAATCAGAAGGGATTGGCGAGAGCTATAATAGGAAAAGGGAAGTGCAGTATGATACCTTAGGTTCCCCCGCCCGCTATACATTTACCACCACGATATAATATCATCGTCTTGACCTATGTACTATACCTGACCCTGGCTATCATACGTGTACTCAACCATGCACCCACTTTTTCAATATCCCGGATCGGACAGCGTCCCTTACCAACTTAGTCTACTAATATCCCTATGATACTGCCATCATTTTTTTTTTTCGAAAAGGTAGAGAGATCTCGCCCTTCAGCCATCGGCCAGCCAATATTTGTGATCTACCGCTCCTTTTTGCCTATTGCTTACCTCACCCCCCCCCTTCCCCCCTTCCCCCCTTCCCCCCCTCCCACCGTAGTTTATCTATGATACGATACGATACAGACCACGATTGGGAAAACCACACTCTGAAAATCGGTCAGTATCACAGCGACTTCCCAAACTTGCTAAAATATTTTTATTCATTTCGAGCTATGATTTGTCAGTTCGACTATCATAGTATCATACAGTACAAAGCGCGAACCAGCCCTCACCGTAATTCCTCGAGAGGGCGGAATTAAAGAGGGTGAGAGAGGGGAGTCAAAAATCGCAAATCCTCAGAGGAGGGAAGGGGGAAGGGGTGACATGGCTCGATGTAGTCATCACATTGTACGATATAAAAAAACTCAAGCGTTGAATCCTTTTTGTCCCCTCATATGGTACCGTACCCCTCTCTCCCACACTCTATTAGAATATATGGTAGTCCTAAAAAATGGAAATGGAAAAAAAAACCCCTCCCTACTGACCATTTCGCCAATATTCCCGTGGCGCTTTCCAAAAGGGGCAGAAGTGTCGAGTATAGTTTATATGTAAAAAATTCTATAGTAGGGCAATGGCGTGGTGAGCGATGCGGGAACGGTATGATATCTCTTTCTTTCTTTCTCACCGTTTGGTACGTACTGTATGTAAAAGGGTTTTGCTGCCAATAATAATAATATCGTGACGATATAAACCGGCTAGGCTCTACTGTGCATAGACATCGGTGTATTGTACGGTACGGACACCGACGACTTCCAGTCAGCCATCCACCGCGGCGATGTACCGTACCATACTATTACAAAATCCCCCGGGATCTATTCTATGTATGGGTTCAATGCGGGTTTCTTTTTTTTTTTTCTCACACTCTCTCTTTGTATTGATCGTGCTTACAGCCCCCCCACAAAATCGAAATTCCTCCAAATAAAGAGCGGATTGCGGGAAGGGGGATGTTATTCTGTACACACAGTAGTCTACAGTGTCATACTCTCAAGCACAAAGCGCCCATTAACTCATCATGCCCATTCCGTCTCCGACAAAGTTGACTCAACACCATGGACAATTTTTTCCCCGGAGACCAGCATAGGATGATGACAGGTTGGACGGTTCCCCCTCCCCATCCACCCAATAAGGGAATATCGAACGTTGGGTGTTGAGAGCGGCGGGAACGATACCGGACAGGAAACCCAGGGGAGAAACGGACTGGTGGAGTACCGTAAAATTGTGCTATCATACAAAACGTTCGGTCGAGTAAGTGAGTGAGTGGATGATCCCGTCCCGGCATCTTTGAGGATATCTATCTATTTCAAGCGAGGGATTGCCGACATACGGTAATTTCGATAGCAGCGTACTGTACCGATAGTTAGAAGAAGGCGAGAAACTCACCCGCCCACACAATGTACGAGTACTGTACCATCCCATCCCGCACTATACTAGTACTATTATATTATAGCACTCGAGCACTGCGCTGCACACATCGAAATAGAAATTCGGTAAGTTACCGAAACAATCATCCATCCCCTTTCGTTTCCCCTTCCTTCCTCGCGCATGTATCTAGTAGCACAGTACAGTGCGGTAGTATCACCGGTATCTCACTTTGGCGCGGAAACCTACAGTACCTCGGAAAACTCGAATACGGCGATTGGGCCATGCGCAATGTGGTTCAAAATTCCCCACACGGAAAGGCGAGCCATTCGGGCCGCCCGAGAAACGCAGAAAAAAAAACAAAAAAACAAGGAAAACAGGACAAAGAAAAAAAGCACAAGCCTTTATGAGAGGAGGCAACCCCAGAGACATAGAACCTGGTCCAATTATTCGAGTTTTCCATAGCATATTTCTTATTTCAGGCCGGATTAGAATGCTCGGGTATATATATATATATAGTCCAGTAGTGAGATTCCCCACGGCTCCCTAGTTCTCTAGCGGAAAGGTTGGGAGAGAAAAAAAAAAAATCAAAAAAAAAATCCAGGCACAGACCTATCGCGTTCTCTTCACCTTCCCCCAAATTCACAGAATCTCACTCGCCTAAAGCACCATTACCCGCCAAGCCACTCAAACCAAACCCATCATCCGTCCCCATGTCGACGGGAACCCCCCCCGAAGTGCCCACCCGCTCCCCCCTCCTGATCGCCATCTCGGGCCCATCCGGCGCCGGAAAGACCACGTTGACCCGTCACCTCCAAGCCATCTTCTCCCCACCCCCACCCCCGCGGCTCCACCAGGACGACTTCTACGTCGACGAGGAGAAGGTCCCCATATCGCCCGAGTCCGGTCTGAGGGACTGGGACAGCCCCGAGGCCATGGACTGGGACCGCTTCGTGCATGCTCTGCGTGAGATGAAGCGTGCGGGGCGGGTAGTTGGGGTGGACAGTTTCGAGGATTTGGTCGAGTTTGATAAGGGCGGGGGGGGAGTCGAGGGGGCGGTTGTGGAGGGGTGTAAGGGCAAGGTTGCTAAGGAGTTGGGAGGGGGGGAAGGGCTGGCATTTGTGGAGGGCTTCCTGATGTTTGTTGATGAGCGCGTGATGGAGGCTTTGGATGTCAAGATATTCTTGCGCTGCCGGCGTGATGTCGCCAGACTGAGGAGGGAGGGGAGGAGTGTTTACGCCGATATCGAAGGTTCGTTCCCTCTCCCCTCGCCCCCCCCCCCTCCATTCCATTTGCCGCCTCAGTAGAGCCTTTTGTTGATGCGGGGTTTTTTTTTTCGGGGGTGGGTAGGGTACTGGAAGGACCCACCCGGGTATTGGGATAAGATTGTTTGGCCGGATTACGTGAGTTTGTTACAATCTACTATACAAGGCGGTGTTGATGCGGAGGTTCTAATACGTCGCAGGTAAAAACTCATAAACGTTTGTTCGTGAACGGCAATGTAGAAGGGGAACTCGATGAAGAAGTAATCTCCTCGCAGGGAATTCACTCCCCGGGTATAGACTGGTCAATGAGCGAAATATTGTCGTGGGCTGTGGACCTGATTATCGTGGAAATGAAGAAGCGGAAGCAGTAGCAGTAGTAGTGTGGCAAAACGCAAACGTGCAGGAAAACAATGACATCCACTTCATCAAATCGAAGCAACCGAGCGAGCGAACAAAAAGAAGATGCAGAGCATTTGGTGGTTTTTTTTTTCCCCCATCAATCCCCGCAACTCCACTAACGGCCGACTGACCAACTAAATTCCTCCTCTCCGACTGAAGAATAACGGGAGTAAGGTGTTTCTCCGCCTTGGGTTAAATATAGCAAGGCCTTTCCATCCATCCATTCATCAACATTACTGCCATTCAAACAACCTAAACAAGCACCTCTCCCTCATCCTCAAACCCGAGCGCACGCAATTTCTTCCTATGCACTTTATCCGTTCTCTTCTTTTCAGTGTCTATAGCCCTCTGCGCAGCGAATACCTCTTCAACGGAGGCGCGACGGAAGGGTATGTCGTCTTCTCTATCCAGGTCCTACCGATCGTTAGCCCGCAAGTAAGTGAACAGGTAGAGAGAGAGAGGGCGAACAATCTCCCCAAGTAACAGCACATTCTCCCCACGAACGATAAAGACCCCGCGTGGGATGTCGCAGTAGGCATCCCCGACGTATAAGCGCTCGACAGTACTCTGCAAGACAAGGTTCGCTATTGGTTTCCCGGTTAGTAAATTATTGGTATCCCCGGGGTTGGTGGGAACCTACCGTACTGTGGTAGGCAGGGACATTAGCATGCTGTGCACAGACTGGCTAGTGGTGATACGAGAACGGATACGGGGAGAGGAGGGGGTTAGGAGACCTGATCCCAAGACCTTAAAACACCAATCAACTTCCTTCCATCACGGAGTGCGACCAGGAGTTTTTCTATAGGTCGAATAAATGTTAGCGGTGAGCTTCCCCTGATCGGATCGGGTGCGCGGGGCACACATACTATCGGTAAGATCGAGTAGCTGAGCGGACGTCGTGAACATCTGCGGGGGCAGAGAAGGCGGGTCGCCCTCCATTTTTGTATCGGCTTGTCTGTGGAGAGGAGGAGGGGGTGGAAGAATTGATCGGGATCGTTATCTCTGTCTTTGGAGTCTCTTCGAGCGGAGAGCGCGTCCTCGTCGTAAATAGGGCGCGCAGGGGGGGCCGCAAGGAAGGAGGGAGGGCGAAGGAAGAGGGGTGAGGAGGGGTGGGGGTTGGATGCAGCTAAATGTGGGACTGCAGTAGCAGCGGGTTCGCTAAAGCTTGTTTATGATAGATTGGATGAGGAGGTGATCGACAATCTAATAAGATTAAACAGCCATTACATAAGTTCACAACATGTCACTCGTAAATCGGTTTCCCTGCTTCACACTTTATCACCCTAAGTTTCGGTTAAATGCTATCGATCGCAGGGTAAGGATCACCGCGATTCCGAATGCTGTCGGGGGCCATGCGGACCAGTTGCAGCGTTCAATCACCATCGAACATGGTATGGTATACCCAATGTCAGAGATAAGCATATAAACACAATTCGCTGGTCTAAACAGTCGGTCACTTGGAACAATCCTTCCCGATCCCTGACCACAATCGAGGATAAAAGGTGACCCAACCCCCGTACGGTGGTTCCAACACGCTGGCTTAAGCACTATCCGTCTAACGTCGATCCAAGCACTTGGTCAACCCAAAGCCGGGATGCTCCCCTGGCTCCCTCCACCCTCCCAAGAATCATATCCAGTGCTCACAAATTAGCCCCCACATCTGCCGACTGTTTACCGGCACTTCTGCCCGCCCATACACACCCGCACGATCTCACGCCAACCACCGCATCTTTCTGCAAATGTCTAGCTAAGGCGAGCGCTAAGCCAGCCAGAAGGAAAAGAAGACCCCCAAACCGCCGCGCCCTGAACAAGTCAGCAAAAGGCAATTGGGCAGACCCTCTTTAGGGCTAACTCGGCTTCTCCGAGAGAATACATATTATACCTGATACCATACCACCCCCGACCCCGCGCCTCCAGCTCGATTTACACAAACTCCCATAACTAACCTCCAGGTCGGCACGAGGGGACCAGCACCAGCACCAGCATCGGCAAATTTTGGTGGGGCGTGGATGTGCGGTGTTACCAACCCTGCATCGAAGTTGCTGTGTGTACTAGTACATACCCGGGCGAATACCGAAATTCGGAACCCGCACGTCATCTCCATTCCAATGGCATCTGTTATCGTTATTGGATGCCCAGAAGGGGTAGAAAGCAGTGATGGTGGCTTTGTCGGTGCAATTGGTCGGTTGCCTGGCCGCTGGTTGTGCGAGCTACCCTATCATATGAAAGTGTTTGGGTTATATGGGTTGGTGGTACGGCGATGAGTTTAGAAATGTCGATCGACGGTTGCAGATTTCCTAGAAGTAGTTCTGCGCACTCCTAATAGGGGGGGGAGGTTCGGATCTAGGCTCCTGCCCGAATGTCATCGTGCAGAAGTCTTGCGGTACGGAATTCTCGGGCTGTGCTGACGGCTCAAGGCCAACGCAAACAACCACCAAGCAATGACTCGGTTGCCGTGGCATATTTGTGAAGCTGCTAGCTGTTCGGTTGACCGCATGGAAAAGAGGCCATGGACTGCGCTCGGGTGGCCAATAACGCATCCGTTGCATGCTCCATTGGCCACCGGAATTCCCTAGCAGGGCCCAAAGCTTATCTTCCGATATCCAACAATCTGTCCACCAGATTCCATAACAGAGCTCGCACTCGCGCGATGACACCCCCTCAGAAGCTTGGATATTTGATGTCCCTGCTTCCACGTCTGAGAGCCTCGTCAATCTGGCTGATATGTTGTTTCGTGAACGAGTCGTCTCGTTTTCTGTATCTCTGGCGACCAGTGATTCGGGTAGCCTGATTGCCGATTTTTAACTGAAACGTATCCAGGGCTCCATCAATGCACATCAGAGCCCTCCTAACCGATTATGGTAGAGCTACCGTATCTGTGGCTCCGTGAGATGGTGGACGCTTTAGCCTGAGATGAGAATGTTGCGCCGTAACAAGACTTCCGGGGCAGAGACACTATATGCTGGTCCCGAGTCACTGCAGCACCGCGTTGGTACTGGTACTTGTACGGCCGTCTTGCGCAAGGTTTACGCTACCTTTAGATAGCCTCGGGCTCATGCTAACTTTCGAACTGGAATTTTTATGCGCAATACACAATGTGCATACACTCCTCAAACTTCCAGGTTAAACGGTTCCAACGTCTATGTCTTGCCACATTCCCTTACCCAAGCCAGAGCTTTGTACTTGTGAGAGCGTGTACGGTGAATCCGAGCGATACGAGAACCTACGCATTTTGTGCAGCCAGCGCCTTGAGTCGGCTGGAGCCATCGATACTGAACAGTGCTGAAACAGGTGAATGTGCAGGAAAAAAATGCATTGACGTCAAGGAAAGGGTATACGGTAGCCTGATCCCATGAAGCGTGGGGAGATTACCGGCTAGTTTACTCGAGTAATTGTGGAGATTATAATTATAATATTATCGTCTCATGTCACGCGGTGATACTATATTATTATTGTTCCGGTCGTCCGAAATGTCTCGACAGGAAATTTCTCGAATACCGCTGTAGCTGTTGGCATTGCATCTCGAGCTCCTGCCGTGACTATTTAGATAAAACCGTTTCCATAGCGTACAGGAATACACTGCCTATCTCGTATAGGCCGCACGCGGCTAACGACGGCTCACCATAACACCGCGCTCATCAGTGAGCCTACCGCTGAGGTGATTCCCGGCAACCATAGTCCCACAATCACTAATACGGTACCGGTATTGCAATCGTACCGGGTATCCCTGGGGGACATCTGGAAGGCAAGGTGTCCGTCGGCTCCACCGCAGTGCGCAGGTAATGCTGGAGCGAGAGCTGCAGCCCAAGCTGTCACCATCGCCAGGGTGCCGCACGTCCGACACTGGCGTGGAAAAGTACGACGACGATACCCCCAAACGAACCCCGTAAGACTCCCATGTCACTCATGAGATTCTTTCGTTGCTTTTTCGATTTAACACTTGGAAGCTGGCGAACATTTTGTGGTTGCAAGGCGCGAGGTTGTGAACTCGAAGTTGACGGCGAGCTCCGATGGTGCGTGGGCTGACCGCGCCTGGGAGCAGGGCTCTTGAGGTAACTATCCATCACCGACGCTTCCGTGTATTGTCAACAGGACGTGTTTCAGAGATGAGCCTTTTATCCTAAATCCAGAGGGATAGTGTAGAAGCACCGCAAGCAAGCGTGGGTAGTCTCATGATATCCTGAGGTGGGCTCTGGTGGAGCCAGTGACATATCAACCCTAATGTCAAAAGCCTCAAAAGAATTACGCTACCGGTACTGGAGTACGAGTACCGCGGAGTGACCGGTATCCTACTTCCGGTGCCGGGGTGGGAACGGAGAAGCAAACTCACTCAGATGGCGCTCGCCTCCGCGCGACACACCATGCAAGCCAGGCCGGGGATGCGGGGAAACAGGGAGGTGGGACGGGGTTTTAAGAGTTACGACAATCGATTGACAAACGGACTCACGAGTCCGGCGCTTCACCCCCAGTTTCCCCCACCATGAGGCGGCAAGGGTCCCCAAACCGGGAAGAGAGAGCAATAATAATAGACCTGCACGGACCTAGGCACCATAGCACGTGAGCGGGGGATGAAGGGGAGGATGTTGAAATGGACGAATCAAGCGCGAGCAGGGTAATTTAGTGCCTGTACCCGTACAGTACAAGCACTGTACCGTACTGTTCGAGTACAGTGCACCCAGAACGCATTCTGGTTACCGTACTTGTACCAGTAAAAAACAAACACACGAATATGGCGGCTTCTTTGGCCGCTGCGGGGAATTTGTTCCGGTTCCCTGCCCCACATCTGGCTGCAGGGTATGCTGGTACAGCAACAGCAGCAGCAGCCTCAGATCAGGAAACGGACTGGGACTGGAGAGGACCCTTTATCTTGATGAAGACGGTGTCATTCCACGAGGAGAACACCCTCGCCGTCCCTGCTTTTTTCTTCTTTTCTTTTTTTATTATTCCCCCGTTCGCTTCTACCGCACTCCAAACCCACCGCAGAGTAGCGGTGTGGTACGGTGCTGTAGGTGTGCAGTAAATCCTTATCAAATCCTTGACACCACCCCAGGGATCCCCAAATAAGCATTGCGGTAGAGTTAACGGTCGACCCAGCGCATATAAGAGCATGTCCCCAGGGTCCTCCTCGGATGTCGAGGGTTTTCCTAGTTACCCCGGGATCTGGATGGACAACACCCCCCTTCGAACTGTCATTGCTTTTCCATCCTCCCGCCCATATACTAGTACGGTATCCTCCTTCCTGACACTGTTTGCCCCAAGGCATTGAGATCGAAAGTGCACGGGGGAGTGGCTGGATAAACTACTCACACCCGACGACCCAGATTTGCATCGGTGCTACAAACCACGACAGCAGGGCAAAGGGTGGGGTAGGTATAAATTAGCGGGGCGGTGGTTCGTGACGATACGGTGGTGTCCGGCCTGCAATACCGGTGTATTCGCACAGGTGTGTATCCGGAGTCCCGGTGGGGGGAAAGCAACAGAGGAGTGTGGAGAAGGGACGAGGGAGAAGGGATCTGTGGTGTCAGGTGTGCATCCGTCGGATAAGGGTGGCTAAAAGAGGGGGGCATAGGAGGAATCCCAGCTTCCAGTTCCATCGCCGGCACGAGTAATCCCAAAAGCGGTCGCATAGCGTTACCTGCTCGGATCCCCGAGCCGCACGTGCAGATTTTATCCTTGAGCCCACTCATTCATTCAGTCACCAAGTCTGCTCGCCGGCCCTCATCTACCAACCAGCGAGCCCTCAAGCAAGGAGGCAGCAGGGCACAGCGGATAGGGGGGCACAGGGCAGAGGGCAGGGGACAGTGGGCAGTGGGGCTCCTTTCCCACCTTTCTCCCACCCATTTTGCTCACCCGCCCGGCACTCCTTGTTCCAGCAACCCAAACCCCAAGCTCGGTCTTCGTCTTTAACTTTCACATGCCCCACCACCAAACTGCCTTCCACTACATCCTTACTCAGTCCCTCCGACAACCACTGCCTCGTCGTCTCCCTCCTACGTACAACGCCTCCGGTTTGCAATACTCTTCTCATCATCCCCTCCACGCCGCCCCAGCTCTCCGGCTTCTATTGTCACCTTTCACTTGCGTGCTTCTTCGATACCCGTTAACATCCTCCTTCCACCTCCACCCGCAGCAGTAGTTGCGGAAACCCTTCCATTTGCCACTCCTTGGCCGGTGACGGAAGCCGCCCACCATGTGGAGACCAACGCGGGCCCTGATGGATACCATCACTCATTATAGCCAGTTCCCTGCCACTGGTGTGAGCCTGCGACAGATGGTACAATTCGGGCGGAATCCATCTGCTGGTGAGCTCGAGGGTCCAAATGTGCGGCGTTGGAAACCACAACTTGTTGACTTGAGTCGGAAACCAGGAACGTTGTTTAAGGCCTCACAATTTTTGAGTGAGGAATTGCCGATTCGTTTGGCTCACAGGGTGAAGGAGCTGAATCAATTGCCTGATGGATTGAGTGAAATGCCGTCTATTCAGAGGGTTGCCAATTGGTATATGCAGTCGTTTGAGGTTGGTGACTCATGGTCCATAGCTCGCTCTTCGATCGTAGGTTAACGCGGGCAACAACCGTAGGAAATTACTAGTCTTCCGAAACCCGTCCTTTCCCGAGAGATACGTGAAAAGTTGATGCGAAGGGAAAATGGCTCGCCCATCCCTTTAGAAACCGGTCTCGCCAATCCTGATATCGAACCGGCGGCTTATCGAAGTTCGCCATGGCTAATTGCCACGAGCGCTACCGGTAATGGAAGAAAGGCACAAAGGTGATCCCCAATTCTTCTCGTAATGTGGAAGCACGCCCCAAAACGGGCTGTCATTGCACACTGCTCGGATTCACGCCGGGAGGCCGGGCGTTAGTGCCGTAGTGTGCACAGGCAGTTTTCTCTAAAAACCCACCAGTGCATCGCGAGTAATCGAATTCCCTTACCCGCGCTGGGCTAACGCTTAACAGACGATACTATGCTACCGTTGATGACGGAGTGAGGTGGCCACCAGAAATTGTCGACTATAATAAGCGTTTCACTAAAACCTTGCAAAACATCAAGCATCGCCATGATCCCGTTGTTACAACAATGGGTATGGCACTTTTTCGGATCCAACATCATCCCGCCCCTAGGAATGTAATTGGCTAACGTGTGTGACTTTATAGCAATGGGGATCAACGAATACAAGCGGAAACGGCAACGGATGCAGATCGACAACTCAATCCAATCATTCCTGGACCGTTTCTACATGTCTCGGATAGGGATTCGCATGCTCATCGGCCAGCACGTCGCACTTAACTCTGCTCCCGAGCAAGAGGACTACGTGGGAATTATCTGCACGAAGACCAACGTCCGTGAACTCGCGCAGGAGGCTATTGAAAATGCCCGCTTTGTCTGCGAGGATTATTATGGACTGTTCGACGCTCCTAAAGTGCAGTTGGTCTGCAAACCTGATCTGCACTTTATGTATGTCCCGGGGCATCTGAGTCACATGTTATTCGAGACTTTGAAAAACTCTCTCAGAGCCGTCGTGGAGACACACGGAAGTGATGCTGAGGAATTTCCGCCTGTCAAGCTAATTGTTACAGAAGGCAAGGAGGTTTGTTTGGAAACTTGACTGTATTGGTATTATCTACGCTTACCAGTTCGTAGGACATCACCATCAAAATCTCCGACGAAGGCGGCGGGGTCCCGAGGAGTGCCATACCGTTGGTATGGACATACATGTACACAACCGTGGAATCGACCCCGCCAATCGACCCAGATTTCAATAAGAGCGACTTCAAGGCACCCATGGCTGGTTTCGGCTACGGATTACCGATATCGAGATTGTATGCAAGATACTTTGGCGGAGATCTAAAGTTGATCAGCATGGAAGGGTGAGACCCCCCCCCAACCAACAACAACAACAACAATGTGAAACCAACCTGAGAATGTTATGAATAGGTACGGAACGGATGTATACCTCCACCTAAACAGACTGAGCAGTTCCTCAGAACCCCTCCAGTGAATTTACCAAGCAGAACCAAGCCAGACCACGACTGGACGGGTAACAGCATGATTGCGGCGTATGGGAAGTCGTTTTTTCTTTCTTTCTTTTCTTTTTCCTGTTTTCTCTTCTTTTTACAGTTCTTGCATGATCTCTATACCGGTGCTTCATTCTGGGGGGCTTTCTTCTCTTCTCTTCTCTTTTCCCTCTAAACTCTTTCTTTCTTCATTTTACATCTCGCTTTCTGGCCTGCTTAAGTCGATCGGTTAATCGAATTGTTTATACTAATTTCTCCTTTAACTTTTCAAAGCTGGATGGTGACGGAATTCACGTGTGCTGTACAGAGCAGGTAAAAGCAGGGCAGGGAAGGTACGATAGTAGTAGTGGTAGTTTTCATTTCACCATATCCAAAGTTCTGTGGCTCTATGACCACGGTGGTGGGGTGAGTGTATGGGGTGTACGGTTAGGAATTGTTACGGCTTTAGCTTGAGGGCAATGGGCATGGTTGCTTTCTCCTTTTCCCTGTCCCCTATGGCGCATCAAGTCCGCCATTCTCCGTTGCGGAGTATATTAGTAGTACTCGATGGGATTGCGGCCGGGGTGCTTGACATGCACGATATGATAATAGACACGGTAACTCGAAAGGAGTTGTGACCATGATGTACTCTGCGGTCGAAGTGAACGGGAATGGAGTGGTGATGTGTCATCCGAGTGATCTCATATGAATGCCCTAGTCAACACCAGAACCATTCCTCTGGTGGATCGACAACAAGGAGGACCCTAGAATTAAAATTTTTTCTCAAGGCGGCGTACGGGTCACGTGAAGTTCGGAAAAAAAAAAATACTATCATAATCTGTACCAAGTATAACCCACCTACACTTTGATTTCTCCGCCTCCAATATTGCGCCAACCAGTTCCGGCATAGTAGTTGATTTCCTACCCTTGACGTCTCGCCCACCACTTCATCTTGCTATACTATTTGCGAAGGATTCACCGGGAGAGTACGAGTGTCATGGTGATCCAAGGCTACTTGAAGGGAACGATGTACGGATGGCAAAGAAGAAGCTCCGAATGGCAGCGTATGAGATCACGTCACCCGTAAAACTGGTCGGTTTTCTGGTAAGCACAAAGTTATCTTGTACAGCTTTTTACTGGTGAGCAAATGTTCAGGCATAGATTGGGTACCAATATGTTCCGCTTTCGCCTGATCAAGATTCTAACACCGGCCTTAGGTCAGCGATGTTTTCGACTTGAGGAGGAATGGGTAGCAGATTCCTTATCCAGTAGGGATGGCTGAGTGATGAGGAGTGTTGCAAAGATCCACATCTTGCGTACTCGGAAGACAGTTGGTGATAATAATTCTTGGCTTTATTGGCTTAAGGATTCCTTGCTTACCGGTGTGGGGGTCTTCGTCCTACTCCCTGTTGTCCGGATGGTGTTTCCACTGAGCACTATTACCTCTCCGCTAGACTGCAATCAACCTCACGATATGCCAGATATTAGTTGTCTGATAAAAGGGACCGATAGTGTGTCAACTGATTACACAAAATAGGAGAGAGAGAACAGAGAGAAAGATAAATCCGATTGAGTGGAGATGAAAACTTCTATTCGGCGGTTGTCTGTGTTTGTCTTACCCGTTGTGTTCTTCAGAGAAAGGAAAAGAAAACTATCAAAAGAAAATACTGCATGCCAAGCCCCCTCTTACACACCATGAATATCCAAAGCCCCCTCCGTTTGAATACACGAAAAGAGCCTCCAAATCAACCATCCCCTCACACCGGTACTTGTCGAAGATATTCAACAAGAGGCCTCTGGGAACGTTCAAGGTATCTGAGCTATTGCCTCCAAGGCGGTAGAGGATTACTTTGGAGAAATCACACCCGCGGCAAAGTGTCATGTTGCTTTACTGATTCTTGATACTAAGGGGGATTTGAGATTTGGAGCTCTTATAAATCGTTCCGCATTGCTTGGGGCTCTGTGGCGGTCGCTCGTTATACACCCTTCCATCTTGCTTGGAAGAAGGGGTGTCGGCGGTATGGCTCTCATATTGGATCAATTGATTTTATCCGCAGTTGACGGAGTTTATAGTTTAGCGACTGTTCTCGCCCCGGTGATGTGATTGGAAGTAACGATTCCTCTGGGCCTGGAAGCTTTTGGTAGGTCATTTTTAGTGCCAAGTTTTGTCGCTACACTGCATCAGGCTTATACGTGAGGAAAAATTGGGCAAATTGCTGCATCTGCAATAAAAAACACAGTAGAAGCTTTTATAAGCCCCCAGCCACTGACTCAACCTCTGACCCAACCTCGTGATCTTAAGCATAACAGGACTTTTTTAATGAAGGCTTGATGCCCATTTGGAACACGCCCGTCACACGTTCCCCACATCAACTGATTGGGACCGCAGAAGCCATATTCCTTTCAAACCAAATTCTTCTAACAATCCTCACCATCTTCCCCACACTTCAATAATTTCGGGACCTCTTTAACAAACTCTCTTATTTCTGTCTTACAGTCACTAGACAAAAGTCTTGGTGATGGCTTAGTCAGCCATGGGACATGAAAATAAAACACCCGTGACCCCTTTTACTTTGAACTACCCTTCAAACAACTATAATAATTCTTCCTGGAATAGCTAGGATGCCACTCAAAGAGATTTTAGATACTGTAAAAAGTATTATAATTGGTGTTTTATAAATCTTGCAAATCAATTCCATTGATAACAACCTTGTTGTATTTTCTTTTGTCTGCAATCCTTAGGCTGTTTCTACAGTTTTCCTATCATAGTTATTGACAATTCCATGTTTTCTTATACAACGGTTCAAGTATAGATTGAATTTGTTGTGCTAGCAGAGGCTTCATGGGCAGTATGGATAAATATATCTGTCTGCTTCCTTAGCCTGAGGAACCTTTCAATGTTAGTACAATTTACTGGCATAATAACTGGTATGATAGCAGAGTAAGGGGGGGGGGGGGGGGGTCTGAAATGCTATTAGAATTCATTAGAGTTTATTCTTGGTTTATTATTATTCTCCTTGCTACCAATTTATAATTTAATTTTTCCAACTGTTGCCAGACTACCATAGCTGTTCAACTCATGCTAGTAGGCACCCGGTCAGTGCACAGACTTTGTCTCACCTGGAGCGATCACCAAGACTTTTGTCTAGTGACTGTATCTCCATCGAGACCCTTCATGGTTTTCAATGCAGTCTTCAGGATGAGTCCGTGAGTAACCCGGTTCTCATAGTGAAGTTGGGTGAACTCTTCCTCGACGGAGGTGCGATGGACATTGAACTCGGTGCGAAGGACATCGACGGAGGTGCGAACAGTGTCAAGCTCTTTTTCGCTGTTGTAGTGGTTGTAATGCGCATCAGCGATTATGAAACCCGAACCCAGAAAGGCCCCGGTAAAGTGTCTGGTTCTCAAGGATCCAGTCTGTAAAGCACAAGATTCAGTTAGTCTACAGCCCACTTCTCTATTTCCACATAGATCAATAATGAAAATTTACTTCCACCTCTTTTGATTTTATTTTTCATGAAGCCGAATGCCTTTTTGATGCCAGCCAATTTCAAGCTAGTAGACATGCTGTCACTTCGTTAGCCTTGTAAAGTGAAAGATATGTGCATGTCCGACCTACCTTAACCTGGGTGCTCCGAGGGAAGATGTAGCGGGGCACAAATCTTCGTGATCAGATACGTGGTTGTATAGGCTTGTGCTGTTGGCTGGGGGGGGGGGGGGGGGGGTGAGGGAGGAAGGTGCCGTTGTTTGACCTTGTGGTGTTGCGTTGAAAAGAAGAAAAAAGGGGAAAGGGACATTTTCTTCGCTAAATACGGTGTTGCGGAGCTATGGTTACCCGGCTGTCGGCCAAATTTAAATATTTTGCCGCTATTTGTTTTACCGAGCAGGGCCGGCTTTCTTCCTTGGGCATCACGCTACCCCTGAACATTTACATGTCGCGACTCGACGGGTGTAAGTTTTACCTCCCTCCTCTCCTCCCTTCCTTCTCCTAGGGCATCTCTAACGGTGTTTAGCTTCGTCGGGCCGATTCCTATAGGTTGGCTGAAGAACCGCCGGTCGGAGTGGTATACAAGTACGCACCGTCTTGGCGTGTTTGGAGCTGGAAAAAGCTTGACGTTCACCGCCGCGGAGGATGGTGTGGGGAACCGATGCTTGGGGGGTTGGTGCGGCGGGACCCGACCGATTGGTGGGCGGAGGGGGTCGAAGGGGAAAATTCTGGAGCTGCCAATGGCCTCCCCAGGACTTCCGGGCCCGTTCTGATACGTCGACTTCTGGTATTAAGTTGGCTTGGTGTGTGAAAAGCTGCCCTTTGTGGGTTTTGCGAGGTTCTTCTACTTGGTGAAAAGATATCTTCCGAGGGCGTACGGAACGTCTGGTCACGGAGCCAAACCTGGCTCCAAGAGTCTCTTTACGGCTTCAAGCTACCGCTTTGGGGCCATCTGGAGCATCATCTAAGATCATAACGAGTGATCTCTCCAGAGTTGGGGAAAAAATGATTTAACCCTAGGAAACGGTCTTCCGGTCATTTGCGACCGACACCCTCGAGTACTATGGAGCAAGTGGCAGAGATAGCAGCGTAACGCACTCAAAGTGATATCTATGCTGTAACGGTCGTACGTAGTAGATCTTGCGAGAGCGCAATCCAATCCAATCGCCGTTCTCAGTCTCTGGTATTCCGCCTCTAGTACCGAATATTATGTCCCACCTACCAACCCTTCCTCACCTCACTCGGACCTCACCAAATTAAGGGAATCATAAAATAAAATCAACTCCCGACCTGCAATTTCCCATAGATTGAAAAAGAAAAAAAAAAAGAACCCTCCCCCCAATCCGCGCCGTACTCGCCAGGCAGCATCATACCCTGCAGACAAACGATCGAACAACCCAGCAAGAAATAAGAGGAAAGGGAGAGAACAGGAACCATATCATCACTGCTGCTCTCTTGACAACCTCCTCCTTCCACTCCCCACAGATCCAGAGGAGGCTTGCGCCGCTGGTGGTGGCGGCGTTGGAGGTGTAGATTCTGCGCGGGTGGAGAGGCCGGCGAGTGATTTCAACATACGGAGGCGGACACGCGGAATGCTCTGTTATCATCAATCGTTAGTCTAGGGGAGCGAAGGCGAAAGGAGGTGGTAAGGAGGGAGACCGACCTCGTCACCGGCGATGGAGTGCATTGCTAGGAGTTCCCAGGATTCGAGGTTTACTGCTATGTTGTAGCGCCGCTCGATAGTTTCGTAGTCCGGAGCGCGGGAGTCGGAGGATGATACTGTACACATTTGGGAAATGGCGAAATGGTTTGTGGATCGGTGGGTCAGGATGGTATGCGAAACGCAATTGGGGTTTTTCGGTTGGTCTTCTTTCCTTCCTTTCCTGTGAGGTCCGTGTATGTGTGAGTGCTGAGGTAAAGAGCCGTAATCTAATTCCCGAACTCCCCTCCTAAGCGTAAACCAGCGTGGGGTTGGGGAAAAAGAAATTAATTAGTTGGGTAAAATGGGCTCCCTTCCTCACCTGCAGTTTGTTTGTGCAGTGGTGGTGGGTCGTCTGTGGGTGTGCGTGCTTCGCTTCGGTAGACGAATTTCCCTCCCCACCAAATAAAGCAAGGAATAATAATCGAAAATCGGGCTCCCCCGATCTCGAAGTCGGTGCTTGTGTGCGATGAGATTCGGGGAGATGATTCCTTATCAGTACTTGTACTGAAAAGGGGCACGTAATGTTTCCGCTGTGGAAGTCGCTGGTGTGCTGGACCTTTGGTGCTGGCAGGCGACAGGGTTCGAGCTCTGCGTCGCTCGGGCAAGCAAGCAGGCAAACTACCGGTAAAGCAGGTATCGAGGGCAAATCCAGGAGGGGGGGGGGGGGGGTGGACAGGGTCGAGGAAGGGAAGAGGACTTGGAACCTGATAAAGTTGAAGCCAAGGTAGAAAGGTGTGCTGGTTCCTTCGGGGTAGGAAGGAGGGGCTACTATGCTTCTTGTATGATATCTCCCTTTTTTTTTTTCTTCTTCTTTTCTTTTTTCCCTTTCCAGTTTTCCTCGCTTTCCCTGGGGACTTCTCACCTATCGTAGCCTTGCGGTGTGCGCGGTAGATAGGGTGCTCGAGTGGGTATGGCGGAGGCATGTTTAGCTTGGACTCTTTGCCACTCCGGGTACGACTCGGGTGGGCTCAATGTCTTTGTCCGGGTGAGCGTGAGCAGCGGAGCAGAGCAAACCCCAAGCAAAACCCGAGCAAACCCACCATATCATAGGAAGGAAGACGGCCAGACGAAAGGAATCATGCAAACAAGGGCATGCGAAAAGCAAAAAAGGGGCCAGGAGAGAGCGAGATCGGTGAGTATTCTCTCAGTACTCGAGCACGTTCTGTCCCCTCCAATGGCCAATACCGAAGCTCTTCCTGTCTCATCTGGACGAATCGATGGCGAGGAGGGGGGAGGGGGAGTGGAGGCGTGGGAAGTCATTCGGCGGGGTCTGTGGTGAGAACTTTCTCAGAAGTTGGGAAGCTTCACACGAAATTGACGGGTGGGGCTTTTTGTACTGTGCGCGAAGACTCGAGCATTTTATTCCTGCATATGGGCAAGCAAGGGGGAGTGGAATTGTATGTGAACCGGGTATCAAGGGTGTCCATCGAGCTTCCCTCTGGTTGGCCCGGCCGCCTCCCCGACCCCAGAGGGGGAGCATTCGCTCCCCGCCACAGGGCCAAGAGCTCGACACGACTCTCTCTTTCCTTCGCCAAGAACCCTTAATCGCCTGCTCGGCTACACCCCCAGTTCCGACCAACCAGACCGGGTTGAAGCTCACATCCCAAGCAGCAAGCGTCCAAGGGTTTTGGAAGGAACCGCTCTTCGAACACGGCAGTCCACAGCTAAGATACCGGTATTGCATACAACCCAGATGCGGGCAAAATTATAGTACTTGTACAGTACAGGATGAGTGCCGTACGAGTGCCGGTTCTCGAGAAAGTGTAGATCCTTCTCCTTACAGGACTCGAGTACTCGAGTACGAGTACAGTACGAGTACCATGTTTCTTCTCTCTCCCCCATTACGTCACATACACACACAGAATGGTTATCGTGGTGGCCGTGGTTTGCCTGCTTTCCCCTCTGATTCGGTCTTGTCAAGCCTTGTGCCACTCCGCCATTCCATCGAACCCTCCCCCTTCCACCGTACGAAAAGATTAGCCTATCGCTCTACGTCATTGGGTGGTGAGCCCTTCCCTCCCCCTTCTGTGCCCTGTCCATTTTGCTTACCTACTCGTTTCCTGCCCTCCACCGTCCGTATAACTTGATTCGACATGTTCAGGCTCTCGCTGTTGACACTCTCGCCATCGAGATCCGGGGTGAGGACTCAGGCTCGCAGATTCCCTTTCCCATACAACAGATACACACCGACCCTTAAAAAATTTTCCGCCATGTCCAACGAGGATGCAGAGTACGCTGCTTTTCTGGCCAAGTCCAGCCAGGACTATTCCAAGCCGAGTGGGGGTGTGGGTGCGTCAACGACGGCCAGCGAAGAAGTCGTCAAGACCTCGGTGCCTGAGGGGGTCCACCCCGCCATCAATGCACTTAAAGGAAAAACTTACACCTCCGATGCCGACCAAGAGTTTAAACCCGTTTCGCTGGGATATGAGGGTAATGGAATGCCCGGTGAAGGTTTCTATCGCACCCTCCCCTCACGTGCGACTTGTGTGTGTGATGGCCGGAGCTTGCCTGCTGACTTGCGTGGCACGCGACAGAGGAATTCGCTAAAGTCCTGAACCCTCCGGCCGGCTCGGAGATCAAAGCGATGGACCTGGGCTATTGGGACGTGCACAACGACTACGAAGACGTCCGTGACGCTGTTGTCGCCGTAGCCGGGGGGAATGCTTCGCTTGTAAAAGCGTATCGGGTCTCAGGCCGTGGAGCGCGAGCTGAATATTATGTTCTTGGTCTGGCTAAAGAGAAGAAAGTTCTGGAGGGGGTTAAAGTTTTGGCGGTGGAGTCCTGAGAAGTTTGGGGGCGGGGTTTCATATCCGGCTTTTCTTTTTGTGTACTGTACCAGTACTTGTAGGCCTGGAAGCTGCTTCTCTGTTTTTCCGGCAGAGTGAAAATCGCGCAATTCTCAGCACTTTGCAGCCAAGTTACACAAGCCTCACGATCCTCAATTACATTGGCGCGCTCAAGCATGGCTTCCTTGAGTGAGGCTCTAGACACCGACAAGCCGGCAACCTCCTCTATGCCAATGCCAAGCCAATGCCAAGGGGGAATAAAAACCGAGGTCCCGGTTTAGACCAATTAAGAAGCGAAATGCTCTGGTGCCTGGCAGCTCACGAACACCCCAGGGCATCCATTCAAGATGTTGACTGGGACTTGGCGGGAAAGGTACAAGTAGGGTACCCCGCGGATAGTCCATGTTTTCGTACACGACAGGGATAGCTCACCAGCAGAATAGCCCCTGTCGTGTACAAGTGCGAGAACATCTCCCCGGGTACCTGTAAGTATCCCAAGGGGTGGAATCTACCAAATAGAAACTATTCGACCCTGCAGGCAGAATACATGCTAAAGCCCTTACCACCACTCCCCAGAAGGAGGACAGGGTTCGGCCTTCTGGTAAAGATGTTATAAGTACAGGGCCGAAGTACCGTAGACCCCACGCCCTTCAAACCCCTACTAGCGAAATCCTCTAATTTAATGGTGATACGAGCAAGGAAGCGACTATCTCCGGTAGGGGAAAAGAATGATGCGCTAGAGCAGGAACCCTCTCTTAATCCTGCAAGGAGGAAAATTTTTCAGAACGAAATCCGCCCCGGCCGGGGGGCTAGTCAGAAAAACCTGCAGTAGGGGAGACTGGGATCACCATTTCAACTGGAAACACGGCGATAGGACACCCTATAAGAAGGGGGATTTCGTGCTTTTTTTTTGGTATCATACTTGGAACATTTAGGACTAAAAGATTGTAAAAGTGATTGAAGTTGACTTGTTGGATTATTTCTAACCGGATACATGATCTTTGTAGATATTTGTATAATTTTTTAGATAATAATATTATGAAATCATACTAGTGAAAACTTAACTATTAGGTTTCAGGGCCGATTTTTATTTGATATATACTCTGTATCTTTAGGTACAGTCGGACCCCGCTATTCCGGATGGCCAAAATCCGAAGAATCTGTCCGGAACAGCGAGGGATCCGGGACAACAGGTGAGGTTTTGGTGGAAATAAATCCAAAGCTCACAGAAATTCATACGGGACAGCGAGGTATCCGGATTATCGAGATCTGGGATAGCGGGGTGTGACTGTACTAGTAGGTGGCGAAGGCAAAATAAATATTCTGTAATTAAGGCCTGAGAGTTGGTACGGTTTTACTAGTACAGTCTTATATAGTTTTCAAGAAGGAGTATTATAATATTGATTATCCATGGTACAGAAAAAGAGTGTTGAGTCCATACTCTATAGCTATTGAGTAGTTTACACTCTATATATTCCATGGAAGGAATAAAAATTAAATTATAATAAAGAAGTAAAAGGTTTCCTTTATTCTTAGCTAATAAAATGTTATGGGGTTGTTTTGGTGGAAAGAATAAGAATAGTGTAGAAACCCATAGTTAAAACTATTACGAGCACTCGTTTACTCTGATACAGGATATGTCTCTAGGCCTGTTTCAATATCTGACTTTTAAGCTGACTTTAAATTAATTCTCTCGGTCTGATCCCAAGTCCGATCCGGTACGTTCGATCCCAGTGGTAACCCCGGTAACTCTAGTGGAGAGAAATGGGTATAAATTATAGGCATGCCAAGTAGTTGAACACTGGGTTGGAATTCATGGCTAATGATATAGAGGAGCTGTCCGGGGTATGGTGGTCGTTGCAGATGGACTTTGGACAGGGGTGGCAGTGGAGGAATTGGACGCGTAATATTGTAGCCAAGAACTTGAATAATTAGTTGATAATATTATTATTAAAAAAGGCTTTTTAGCATTAACAATACAGGGTAAGGCTAAGGTTGCCCGAAACATATGAGTGACTGGGGTTTTTCCATATGTTGTCGTATGGTATTAACTTGAAGAAGGGCAACAGGGTAGTGTCTCAGGACGTCTGACTTTCCTATTCTGTCGGGGATAGGAGAAAATGCTACAATAGTAGAATAAAAGCACGCATTGCCTAGAGGGGAAACCTAGACGTCCCGAGAGGTGTTTCTCCTATTCAAGTTGATACGGTATGTGACATAAATAGTGATCAGTATTAGTGCAGTGTTGTACTCGTACAAGTACTTGTATTTGTATTGCTTGAATCTATTCACAGAGCACTATCGTTCGTCTTTTATCATTCAGAGAGGACCGCCAGGCTCGGCAAGACCTCCATTGTCTGAGCACTTTGTTACGGTATTCTAACAAGAGACTACACTTATTTCTCCTCTCTTTTTGTTCCTGCGATCAGACACCGCCAGTAAGAGTTTTCTTTGCGATACAGCCTACCGGTATCTCGTTTGTCCCGCCTTGTCTCGGTGTACAGTACCAATATTTTCTCCGATCACGAACAACTATCCCTGTCGGTACTGTACTTGCCGTTTTCAGAAGTATCAGGATATCAGGAGATTGGCTTGGCAGCAAAAAGAACTACACTATCCACTGTATTACGTGCCCATATTGAGCAGAGAGCGAATTAAGCACTAAGATACCTAACAGCGCTCCTCAAGCACCTGTACTGATTCGAATTTCTTTCTCCTTGGTATTCTTATCGATCCTTTCTGTTAAGCGAAAGGACCGATAAATGCCAAGCTAAGCCCGACATCCGGATACTTTTGAAAACGGCAAGTACCGTAAAATACCGTATAATTGGCTAGCTCCGGAGCAGGGAGTTGATCTCCGTGCTCAGGGACAAACCCCCTAAGAAGGAGTAGTAGTTGCCTCACAAGGCATAGCTTGAGCGGGCTGAGTGAGTTAGATCTCACTAACTGGTATTCGCAATTCTGGTAACCTGCCAAACTAAACCTATCGTGGGTGGACTGGAGATTAGCCCCCGCTCCGGAACTAGCCAATTATACAGGATTTTACGGTATTACAAGTACCGCGGTACTCGTAATCAGCAGGTAAGAAGTGTTCGATCGTTACCGGTTTTGCGCTTGTATGGGGCACGGATGCGCACGGACGTTCGGGC